CTATATATATAAAAATAAATATATATCGCAAATATACGTATTGTTATTATTAGCTTTTAAAGGTTTTTTTACCATAAATTTATAAAACAATTTTCTGTTGTTTTAATTGTTTTTTTTAAATTTGCAAATAATTACAATGTTAAATATTAATTAACATCGCGCTAACAAAGAACAAAATGCTGTAATATAGAGAAAGATTTATTCAAATCAAGATATAATTGAAGAGAACACAATATCTTACCTTGATCTTTCTTATTTGCGAGTCAGAAGCATCAAACATTGTCGTGTTCTCATTTGCTTTTTCAATATTTATGTATTTCCGGTTAGTATACATATATATCGATGTAAGAACCGATCACAGAGCGAAGAAGCGCGCTTCTTCTACCGGAAGAAGAAGATAGTCGGAATCTCTTTTCACACAAGTCCCTCTCGGACTCTTCTCCGGCGTCTCCGGAATAAAAAGACCTGATTATCCTTTGTTTTTTTCGCGCGGGGGAAGTTCCGTCCGCGCGCGCGCGCGCGCTCCCGCTATCCCGCCAACACAAGTACGGAAAGATCTCGGAAAGTTCTTAAAGACCAACGCCATTTCTTCTCGAGAAGGATCACTGGCCGTGACCTGTCTCTCCCCGAGACGGCGCTCAAAGAACTTTGGAATTTTTCGTTGCAACCGCGTTCCCCAGAGTTACAAGCCGGCTTATATGTATATATCCACCTTGTTCTTCTTCTCTCCGCTTATCCACCATTCTTCAACTTTATCCTATCGTTTATTTTTGTGCCATTTGTCTCAGCGATTCGTAAGAGAAGACATGCCAGAAGAATTTCAAATCACTGTAGACAAAATTGTGTGTGTGTGTGCGTGCGCAGAGAACAAAAGAAATAAATTAATTTCTCTGAAAAAAACTAAATTTCTTACGTAATATCAATCACCTGTTCCGTTAACGATCGTTAAAATCCGTTCCTTTTTCGTTTCTTGTCAAAAGAAACGGCACTAACGAGTTAACAATCGTCGCGTTATCACGCTAACCGAAAATGATGAGTTTTTGACATCGATATTTTTATTTCGCAGATAAATGTGTTCTCTCTCTTTCTCTTTCTCTCTCTCTTTCTCTTTCTTGATTCCGCTCGTCGTTTGTATGAAGGGACTGGTTGCTGATAGTGAGTGGAAAATGAGTAAAATTGGAAGACAAAGCGATACAGAGAAGAGGATGTGAAGAGGAACAAAACGCGCCGTGATACGACGCGACGAAGATGAGATCGGAAACTGTCTTCTGCCTGCTCTCGTTACTGATTCTGTCGCTCAATGATCCTTCGTGGACTTCCGAAATCAAAGGTTCGCTTAATGTTCGTTTTTTGACAATTAATATCACAAGTTAATTAATTAACACGAGATCATATTATCAATTTATGTTGTAATATTAGCGTAATATAAATAAAAAAAAAACACATAATATAATAATATATAACAGTGATATTAATATAATGACATGTAATTAAACTTTTTAACTATAATGATATATATATACATATATGTATATATATATCATTATATTTAATACTAACCAGTTAAAATTACTATAATAGGAAATAAATAAATATATATATGTATGTCATGTATCAGTAATATATGTGTATATATATATATATATATATATACACATATATTACTGATACATGACATACGTATATATATTTATTTATTTCCTATTATAGTAATTTTAACTGGTTAGTATTTTGCGGATAATCGATTAAGGAAAAACTGCAATCTCGGTGAAAGCTTCGGCGAGACTGAAAATTGCATAGCTTAACGAGGGGCAAAAGTACCGAGAAAGAACGTTAATTACCTTTGTAATGAGATATTCGCTTAGATCGAACGGCAATGTATTTAGTGCTGTACGTCGTTTAAATTTGTCAACGATCGAGTGCGATGCGTTCGAGAAAAACGGTAAATTATATATAAACTATCTCTTTCTCTGCAACAAGCGTGGCGTATAAACGAAATCAAGATCGCTCGCAAATAACAATTTAGTATATCGCGCGCGATATGTTCACAATCGACAAGAATGAAATGAAAGCTATTCGCGCGGAGAGATGTTTTTTCCTCCCATTTTTTTTTTTTTCTATCGGATGCGCGAAAAGAAATGTTTTTGCATCGATAAAATTATCCATATAAAAATACATTATTTACATGTTTTTCTTTCATCATTTGATGCGTATCAAAGCAGTTGCTAGTTTATGATTATTCATGCGTCTTCTCAGCAAGAAAATCATTATATACGTCCGGCAGAGCAACCTGAGCGCGCCCGAGGATGCTTGATGTAATTAATCGTATGCAATGTCACGCGCCCATGATAGAGACGATTCGTCGTATATGTATACATACAACCATATATCGCAGATATTACACTAGTTGTGGTAAATGTTTTTTGTTGAAAGGTAAAACAACGTACAAGAAAAAAAATGTACGCGCAAAATACCCGATAAAAAATTTTTCATATATATATACTTATACACAAATTAAAATAATTATATCTAATTATGCAAATTTATATGCCGAATATGTCCATACAATTTTATACACGGAGATATTCTTCTTTTTTTAAGAGAATGGCTTCAGAGATATTCTATATCAAATTACAAAATACCTCTATTAGTATCGTATTAAATACAAACAAATTATATAAAAATATATTTTTACTATATTTTAAAAAAATTTTTAATGTATAATCATATATATACTTTTACACAAATTAAAATTATTATATCTAATTATGCAAATTTATATATATATAGCGAATATGTCCATTAATTTTATACATGGAAAATTTTTTATCGGATGTTTGAAAAAGAAAACAAAAACATAAACTAAAACCTACTCTTTGCTTAATCAATTATAATTTGTTTGTAAAAATGTTTTATAAAAATATCTATCGGAAAAATTATTTTCTTCAAACTTTATATTATATTGTTTTATTTTTTATATCTCTCAAACACATTTGTGTGTGCGTATATATATATATATATATTTACACGGAACACTGTCATGCGCGCGTGCACACGTATACTTACACGTTTGCGCGAATAAAATTGAGATGACAAATATAGCTGAACTGAGAGAAGACGTACAGTAGAAGTAAACGGGACGCTGCGCGCGGTATAAGGAGGCGAAACATAGTGCAAACGACAAACGACACTTGATTTCAGTGAGATTGCCTACATCAATGGCAATTAATTAGCCGGTAAACTCTCTCTCTCCAAGTAATTTCATTAGTCCGGCGCAATCGAGGGTCGTTAAATAAATAAGATCGTGTTTTCGTTGCAAATGCCGGCGGCGATATATAGTTTTTGCAAATCAACCGTTTCTCCTTCGTCTTGTCTCTTGTGTTCTTCAATTTTTGCGAAATAAATTTCCCGTCTGAGATTGATCTTCGAGATTTCAAGGAGGAATAAGAAAATCGAGAAGGAAACACAGCGATTGTGTGATTTGATAATGTAAAGAAAGATTTTTTATATCTTTTCGTTGTTTTTTTGTGTAAACAAACAAATATTCACTCACTCTCTTGCACAGGATGCAATCGTACCATCAGAGATTCCGTCGGCTGGATTCGCTGGACAGGACGAATGGGTCGATGCATTGTGCGCATCAGAGCGCCACTTAGAGATCCGCAGGTTTAACATACGTATATTTCTCGATTTAATTTTTTGTTTGTTTTTTTATTTTTCTCGTGCACAATAATTATTCGAAATGGTGAAAATAAACCTTCCGGCTAAGACCGAGATTGAGGTGGCTTAAAAAAATTCAAAACGAATCCAAACGGAGATCAGTGGAACGTTTTTCGATCTTTATTCTTTGGATCATCATCAGCCTCACTGGACGGAACAAGAGACATACATTTTATTTTCACTATTTTGAATTATATATTACGGCTGTTTTTTCTACAATAATTATTTTATTTTTACACAATGTAATTCGAGAAACAACGTTATTTTAGGTAATCGAGGTGAAAGTCAGAAGACTACAGGTGGGCTTTCTGAAGGAGGCCCGGTGCGAGGGAGCCTATTTTCAGTTTTCAGATAGCGCTGACGATTCCGACGACGAGACAGGTCGATATTGCGGCCACGTGACCGGAAATAGTACCAAGTACGTTACTCCTTTCCCACACACACACACACACAAATTTCCGTTCCTCTTCGATTTTTCTAATCTCGTCACGAAAGTGAAGTTTCAATATCTAATGTTTTCCCACGGACTACTCTGTTTGGAGTTTCTATTTGTTATATATATATATATATATCGATCTCACAGGCTATTTCTGCGTCGCGGTCCCGATCTAACGATCACTCTGTCGTCGGACGCTCAGTTTGCCTCGGCGAATCCGGTCATCTTTTCCGCTCAATTCTCCGTCCTTCCGGTTCGCTTGGCAATCGAACGTCACCGCGGTTACTCCGCTTCCTCGTCGCCAACATGCCCCGTGGAATGTATCGTACGCAACGAGCGCAGATTCTGCAGATTGTCGTCGCCGGATTACCCCAGCGTCTATCCACGCGGGATTAGGTATCAAAATTGTTATCTCTTTAAGCTCTTTATTTGATTCAAATCGAGTAATTTGCAAAAATTTATTGAGCCAATTTTCTTGCAAAATGTGTATTTGTCACGATTTGAAAACACAAAGCTTATAACGGCGGATGAAAAAATTTCTCAGATGCAGAATCGCTCTAGAGTCGAGCGCCGGTCGGTTCAGAATAGGCGGTCATCCGGAAGATGTTTTCGATTTGATGAACTACACCGATCAGGATAGCTGTCAGACAGAAAATTGCGAAGACTCTTTCGAACTCAAAGGAATCGAACAATTGTTGTACGCGGGTCTTGGAAGAGTCGCAAGAAGTCAGAATCTCATCAAAGCGAACGACGAATCTATTATTCTGGACGATCGGTTGGGAAACAATCACGGCAGTCGAATCCCCGTGATTGAACACACCGAAAAAACGAGCGAACAATTAACGAGACGGCGGCACTACTACGAGAAAAAGTCGATACAGCGGCACCGAGGAAAGCAATATCATTCCGAAGAGTCACTGTACGGATCCGGCACAAGCGAGCCGAGACTTCGCATAAAACCCGTAGGTTCGAAGATAACGAGAAAGGATCAGCGAAGGGTCGTGCCGAAACGTTATCCCAATGGCGACACTGAAAGACCAAGCGAAATCTTTGGCAACACGATGGTACGTTAATCTGTTTGAGAAGGAGAAGTACATTAATAAATGATTTCTATTGATTGAACGAGACAAAATGCATAACAAAAGATTTTCACAAATTGAGATGTATATATATATGTATATATATATATATATATATATATAGGTATATTGGGTGTAAAACTTTTGATGAATTTTATGATGGAAAAATCAACTAAATAATTCGATTGAAAAAACAATTTATTTATTCTACGACTGTGTTTCAAAAAATTCGCTTTTAATACTGAAAATGCATAAATACTCGGTAAAAAGCTTTTTTCATATATATTTATACACAAATTAAAATAATTATATCTAATTATGCAAATTTATATGTGCCGAATATGTCCATACAATTTTAAACACCCCGGTAAAAAATTTTTTATATATACTTATACACAAATTAAAATAATTATATCTAATTATGCAAATTTATATGCCGAATATGTCCATACAATTTTACACACGGAGAATTTCTTTTTTTAAGAGAATGGCTTCAGAGATATTCCATATCAAATTAACAAAATAACTCTATTAGTATCATGTTAGATACAAACAAATTATATAAAACTATATTTTTACTATATTTTTAAAAAAGTTTTGATATATAATCATATATACTTATCCACAAATTAAAATTATTATATCTAATTATGCAAATTTATATGTGTGCCGAATATGTCCATACAATTTTATACATGAAAAATTTTTTACCGAGACGGAGAATTTCTTTTTTTAAGAGAATGGCTTCAGAGATATTCCATATCAAATTACAAAATAACTCTATTAGTATCATGTTAGATACAAAAAAATTATATAAAACTATATTTTTGCTATATTGTTAAAACATTTTTGATATATAATATAAATTTGTTTATATACTTATAAACAAATTAAAATTATTATATCTAATTATGCAAATTTTATATGCCGAATATGTCCATACAATTTTATATATGAAAAATGTTTTACCGGGTATGTGACGTAAACTGTAAGTTTTTAGTAGTAGCAATAAATTTTGGAACGCAGCCCAAATACAACAGCAATAAATAATAAAAACAACAAGGATTACTCGATAAAGAAATGAATAAATCATTTTTAATAAAATTACTTTCGGTCTCTCTCGATATTTTTTTTATTATCAAAGATCTGTCAAAATTTTTTTCTAATCGATATCTTTTATAAGATTTTGTTTTTGTTCTCTATTTTTATATTAAGGCGTCGACACGCAAATATCTCTGGGATGATCGATCGTCGAGAAACGTCACGTGCGGCGGTGGCGATTATCTCGTGCTTCTGGAAAACGTGAACGGAAAGATCCTCGAGATCACCAAGTTTTGCGGAAGCGGCCGGGTGCCGCGCATCTATTCGCGGGGAAGAAACGTGATCCTGGAGTTTTTTGCTCGCAAGGACGGCACGGTTACGCACAACGGATTTCAGGTGACTCTGCAGGAGGAGCGTGTCTCGCAGGAGATGAGACACGCGAATTGCGCGTTTGTGTACAGGAGTTCCGAGCGCAATAGCAAGGAAAACATCAAATCCCCACGGAGCTGGTATCCGCCCAATACCGTGTGTACCTACAAGTTCTTCGGTAGAACCACGGAAAGGGTATCCATCCATCTCAAGATTCTCAGAAACGAGTTCGAGCACGAGAAGCCGGAAGCTAAGCAAAACTTCAGTCTGAATCATTGCCCGGGCAATGAAATCACCGTTTATAACGGAGTACAGGTAATTACGACTCGAGTTTTAGTTTGATCGTTTTAAAATTTTACGTATCTTCATTAAAAACAAATTTAAATTTTCATTATCAAAAAAAAAAATGAAATTTACTCGACAAACACATAAAAAAACTTAAAGTTAAGTTTGCCGATTTTAGGCAATTTAGTTTAAGAATGAACAAAAAAAATTTGAAAAAAATTTATGTGCATACACGTATACTTTTCTTTTTTGTTTTTGTTTGAACGACAACAATTTGCAGACAAATGGCAGCTTTCTGATATGGTCTTACTGTGATGCGTCTCACTGGGACATCAACAACATCCAAGTACCTTTGACGTCTAGTGGAAACGAATTATTGATCCGGTACACCAGCGCCAAGGGGTCCTACGATGGTCAGGGATTCACTTATGTCATATCCTACCGATTTGTCAAGAAAGAACAAAATTTTATTGGCACAAGACACAAGCACAGATCTATATCTTTGAAACCCGTCAATCTGTCGTCTCTTAATCTAAACGGCACCGACAACTACAATTGCGATAACAAAATTGACTCTTTCAAAAACTGGTTTGCAATTTTAGTGGTTTTCGGTATTGTGTCTTTTATCGGAGCCGTCGTCACGATAGCCACTCTAACTGCCAAATGTTTAAAGATCAAATCTTCCGAGAAGAAACTCTTGCAAACCACAAAACAGTGAGAGATATATCACGAGAAGATTTTTTTTTATTTCTTTGTCATTTATTAATACTGTTGATATAAATAAAAAACGACGAAATATCTCAGGAGTTTATTTGCGAACGAATGATATTTGGGGTGTGACTTTGTGAGGTGAATTTTTGTGCAAAAATCCGGCCAAAAATAGAACAAGGTCCCACCGAGACTTGAACTCGGATCGCTGGATTCAGAGTCCAGAGTGATAACCATTACACCATGGGACCTCGATTGTTTTTCTCTACCAACTATTAAATAGCACATGTAAATACTTGGGAAAAATTTTTTTTTGTACAAACGTCACGCGACATTGAGACGATTTTATAAAATTAGTTGATTAAAACTCGTTTAATATCATTTGTTCGCTTTTCCGCAGAATGTATTGACTGTGAAATAAAGTTTTTATACGTAATATAAAAAACAATATAATATAAAGCTCAATATAAATTAAGATATAATAAAAAAATACGTATTAATAAAATATATATTACTTTTAATTACACACATATAAACGTAACACTAAAAAATTTTTCTTGCAAATTCTCTGGTGATTCCAAAAATTTCTATTTGAAAAAAAACATTTTTGTTGTGGTAGCACATAACTGTTTATTATTTCAGAATTCATTAGTGTTTTGATTTGAAAAAAGACCTTAAAAAAATCATGAAACATTGTTTAATCATAATGTAGAAACATCATACTTGTCTTTGTCTGGAAACATAAAAGACGGCAACCCGGTATGCGTGTATGATCGTTAGATAAAAAAAATACATACACAAAGTAAATTGCAGCAGTTTTCTGACAAGCCAGCAGTCGGTTACTCACCATTTCTAGCGCACATCGCCTGGGCTGTGTCCAGTTAAACAAGAGAGAACGAACAAATGCAGGAAATACAGAAATTGAAATGCAGAAGAAGCAGGAATTGAAAGAAGTCGATAAAGTACGGACAACTGTCTGTTTTTTTGTTTGTCGCGTCGCATGCCCCAACATGCTCCTATTCGCTCCAACGCGCTTTTTTTCAATAACTAGCACAACACAGGCGCGCGCTACGCGCACGCTATTGTTATTTTTATTTAACGTGTTGTCAGTGAATACAACCTGTCATCGCGCGCGCGCGCGCGCGATGACAGATAGTATATACGTCTTATAAACCATATAATACACATATGAGAAATGTCAGAAATAACGCATGAAAATCAAACTCAAAAAATAGTGAGAGAGAGAAGTAAAAAAACTACACGTGACTAAAGTCACGTGACAGGGAAAACGGTAAAAAAGAGAATATTATATATAATATTATATGAGAGAATATTATATGTAATATTCTATATATAATACACACACATACGCATATATGTATATATGTATATATATATATACCGTAAGCACGTGACCAAAGTCAGTGACCCCGCCGCGATCGCGCGATCGAGGTGAGTGACTCCGCCAAGGCCGCGCGACCGCGGTCAGTGACCTTCTCCCCACCCAGGCCGCGCGGCCGAGGTCAGTGCCCCGCCAAGGCCGCGCGGCCGAGGTCAGTAACCCCGCCAAGGCCGCGCGGCCGAGGTCAGTGACCCCGCCAAGGCCGCGCGGCCGAGGTCAATGACTCCGCCAAGGCCGCGCGGCCGAGGTCAGTGACCCCGCTAAAGTTGCGCGGCGGAGGTCAGTGACATTACTGTAGTATGTATGTAATACATATAATACAATATAAAGTATAATATTATAAATATATAATAAATTATATGTATATAATATGTATTATTTAATGTTATATATAATATAAATTACAGTCACGTTATTTTCACCCGGTAAAAAATTTTGTATATATACTTATACACAAATTAAAATTATTATATCTAATTATGCAAATTTATATGCCGAATATGTCCATACAATTTTATACATAGAAAATTTTTTACTGGGCACGTGTTGTTTTTTACTCTTTCCTGTCACGTGACTTTAGTTACGGTTTTAATTTTCTCTACATATACGACAAACTGTCTCAAAATCGCTTTTCATTATTTACTCTCTCGATCTTACCGATTCGATTCGACTCGATCAATCACTTCTGGAGGTCGACTCTGTATCCATGCAATGTTGTGAAAATTACAAAAGTGAGCAAATTTACTAAAATATCTATGATCTTATTGGTCAACAACTAGTAAATTTGCTAAAAACAGGTGGTTAGGGTAAATGGCAACCTTCACCATCCGCTTTTCACCAATCAACGCTCGGTGTCAAAGCGCCAGTGGTCTAGTTTCCACCGAAGCATTAATTCACACTTAATGCGACGTAGAATCAAATTCAAGTCGATGGAAACCTGTCAAATTGCGCTGATTTCACTTCCGCTTCGATCTATAAGTACTCTACTTCCAATGAAAACGAAACACTAAATTTGATCAGTACCGGAGTGAAACCGAATTGAGGGTTTCGGTGGAAACTAGACCAGTGTCTGCATGAGGATCCAGCCTAAAGATAGAATGGGTGCGTTCAGACAACTCAACAGTTGCACAACGGTTGGGAAATAATCACTTATGATTGGATCATACTTTCGGAACCTCAGCCGGTTTTGAAGAATAGTCCTATCATAAGTGATAATCTCTCAACCGTTGAGTTTTCTGAACGTAACCGATGATGCAACAGACTTGTATATTCCGTGATACCAGACTATATATATTAGGTGCGTGCCATCACTGTACTGTAGTTATTTAGACTGACAGTTACGTGTCTTTTAAGTAATCTTGATCGCTCGGTTGTACGCGACAAGATACGAGACAAGACAAAAATGGCCGGCCCGGAAAATGCTGATGCCGGTTCAATCCTGAAGAAACTCAATTTGCCGCCAGTTACGCGATGCAGTCTCGCAAAGTTCTACGTACCGGCATTCGGCGCCGCTTCGTATACAGCGATGTCCATCAACGTCATGAACCCGAGCCTCGTTATCAAGTAAGTGAGTCACGCGCAATAGACAATTGTTTCACCTAAGTAATACGTACATATAATATGTAACGATCACTTGTAACCCTCGATTACAGTACGCACAAGTTTTCCTTATTACGTAATTCCGGGCGCGCGCGTCATTTATAACAGATAGATGAGCTATGGCATCGCTAATTCTAACACAAGACCGCGACATGTCCAAGCGCAAATCAAATAGTTTGTAAATCTGAGAAATTAGAATTGCAAGTATCCTCATGAGTTTTTTTTAGAGTGTTTCCAACAAGGGACATTACAAATTTCTTGTTGGCTGGTACTCTGGTTGGCACAGGATCTTACATCTACACACGTGAACATGTGAAGAAAGCTCCGCAGAATCAAAGAATATTATACAGGTAAATATAATTGCATAGATGATTATTTTTAAACTTCATGCCCCATAACTGATATTATGGAATTTTCACACATTTAATTTTACAGTATACTTTTGTATATATAAATGAGTATGTTTCACTCTTACTTATTTCTAACACATTACAATGTGTATTTGATATATATTTAATGTATATTTCATATATACGTAATGATATATTTGTTCACACGTAATGTATGTGAAATTTTATGTTCTAGTGTTACAGGTGCTGTATTGTTAAGTCTGGGATCTGTCTTACTGTGGGCTGTGGTACGTTCGATAATACCACCAAGCCCTGCAATCTGTACAGTAGCTGGTGTTAGCAGTGGATTAGCGTTATTGAAAATTGGCTCCAATTATCTGGAGTTTGTTGATGGACAGATAGTGAAAAAGTAGGATGTTTCTACGCACTTTGTTTTTTTTTTTTTTTTATTGTAACTTTGTTATCTCAAATTGTGAAGAAAGAATTGTGAAATTGTACCTTACCTTGAACAAGCACTAACTTCAAGTGTTATTGAATTTCACTGTCTTTTGATCTGATGTTTTTTGTGTACTCCTTTTTGCGCAATGAGAATTCAGTGAAAGTAATATTTGCTAAAAAAAAAAAACTTCTGAAGGTTTTACACAACATAGTGTTTTGTCAATATTTCAGTACTATCGCATTTACATTTTTGTGCGTGTACATGAAATTTTATTATAAAAAACAAAGGTAAGAAAGAAAGAAATTTAAGAGAGTCAATTGTGTATTTATATATTTTTTAAAACAGTGACTTATATATGATAGAGAAATTACAGAAAAAAATAACGAGAAAGAAAATTTAAACTTGAACAACATTTAAGTTAAAGTCAGTAAAAGAATGTTCTCAAATGTCAAATGTATGTAATGCTGTTTTCTTAAAATTATAAATTTGAACGTTGATAAAAACGACACGCAAGAATTTATAAGTACAAAACCTCGATATTTCGTGCGTATACATACCTGCGAGTACAAGAACTTCGCGTTTAGTTGAAGGAATAATATAAGGCCGATACGAGCCAATCCCAGGATATTGAGCGGGAACTTGAACGTGCATACATATATGTATACATCTATAACAAGTATTACTTGTAAATTTTTACAAGTAAGTTTTTTGAATTGAAAATTCAATTCTTAAATTCATATAGGATTCTAGTTTTGCATCTCATATATGATAGACCCCCCGAATACCCCCCCCTAATTGATTTAAAATATTGCGAAAAATTTTTATTTTTATCTACCAACAAATTGAAGTACATTTTTTTTTTTAAATTTGCAATTAAGCAAATCGATTATAAAGATTTTAATACAATCTAATCTACTCACTGTTGTTATTTTGCAAAGAATAAAACTTTGGTGATAGTTTTATCGAGAAGAAATCCGCTTGAGTGACAAATAAAAATTCTACCGGGTACAAACACACTATTGCACAGCAGTGTCGTCTGCTTTGTGTTAACAGCGTGCTCGTGCCTTGATGCAATCGCTATTGTTTCATGTCAGATAATGACATGGCTTGTTTTTTCCAACAATATCCGATTTCGTCGCGAGACTCGATGACGATTGCAAAAGCGTTCCTGAAATTCTCCTGGGGAGAAACGATTTAAAAACAAACAAACAAAAAAACATTTATTTGTACGATCAATTAGTGATCGATTTTGTAATTTATTTTGTACATACAATCGCAACATTTATACATATGTGCGGCAAAAGGCATGGTATTCTACTAGTAAATATACGCACGCACTCGGTTAAGACTTTTACTAGCAAACTTATACATTTTGTACTATCTCCAGTCACAATGTATAGATTTTCCATGCTTTTTCTTCTCGTAACACGTTTACATCGCTACTTTTTACAAAATATTGATCTCCGTATCGTAATGTACAAACAAATAATTCTAACGAAAAGATTTTTTTTTTAACCTTAGGCAAATATTTATAAATTATTTATAAAGTCACACAGCATATGAAAGATTGATCGATGTGCGCATTCGCGTTTTGTTTATTCGGTTCCGTTATATCGAGTAGAAAACGCGTTTGTGACAAAAATTATTGCTTGTAATACAATTTGTGTGTTAAAATTTCATCACAAACAATTAGATGCGTATACTATACGTTTTGAATCGATCGAATAATTAAACGTAATGACCCACGTAGCATCGTTAGTTAGCGCAAACGTTTCTGCAACGGGTTTTCCGAAACTTAGCAACGTTTCGTTTTTTAAAAGTCTCTAAAACGTAGTAACGTAGCGGAAACGTCGAAACGTCCGCTTTTTAAGTTGCGGTCCGATTTCGTAGAAACGTATAAAAAACATTAAAAACTGAAACTTATCGAGCAACGTTTCTACGAAATCGGACCGCAACTTTTAAAAAACATTTCGACGTTTCCGCTACGTTACCACGACGTTTCAGAGACTTTTAAAACGAAACGTTGCTAATTTCGAAAAACCCTCCCGTTGCAGAAACGTTTGTGCTACTATAACGATACTACGTGGGAAAGCCTAATTTAGTCAGAGAAAATTGTCTAATAGTTTTAAACTACAGAAACAATCTTCTACATTGTTAAATAAATACTTTCGAAATTGTGGAATATATCTAAGATTTTTTGGAAACACTTAAATAATTATAAAACTAAGTTACCTATATTAAGATATTAAAAAAATAATAATAATATTTAATGGTTCTTATAAAAAAAAGTACAGTACTAAATTCGGCTGAAATACGAAAATCTACACGAAAGTCTTTTCCGATCGCAACTTTGAGTTTTTCTTTTGTTGATCCACGACAGCAAAATTGTTTTTTTTTGGAGTCCAAATTGTTCTTCCGGCGCGTAAAATTCTCGGTCGGAAGAAAAGCATGTTCGCATGTTTGATTGTATGTATACACACAAATACATAAAACTTGAAACGCGATTCCTTTTTCAAGTTAAAAAAAAAAAAAAAAATTTTACAAACAAAAAAGAAACAGTTAAGCCCATAAGATCCATTCGACACACGCAGACTTCACGCACGTAAAAAAAAAAACTCGTCAAGCCTCTGATCTTATGACTTACTCTCCCTTGACTTTATTTTCTACTCTATCGAATAGTTCGTATGAACGACAAAAAAAAAAAGTCTTTTGTTTTATTTAAGGCACTATCGTGACCCCGAGATCTTTGAGCTTTCGAGAGATCTATCTCCGCGAATCCTTCAATCAAAGAGGATTCACACTCGTGTGTGGAAGCTTGCGAATTTGGAATTTTTAAAATTTTTTCCCGAATCCCTAACTCTGATGAAGGTGCAACGGACTGGTCTCGTTAAAATCCTTCGGCTGAACCGTCGTCGTCGTCGTTGTCGAAGAAGACGTGAGAACATTGGAGATCGCTTCTGTGATTCTGTCGGTCACTTTATCGATCGTATCCGAGACAACGTCGTGATTGTGATCGTGGTCATGGTCGTGATCGTGATGTAATGCGTCGTAATGATTCTCTTCTTCCGTGTGGTTGTGCGTGTGTCCGTGGGAATGTGAGTGCGAATGGGCAGCTGTAATCAGAAAATGTGGAAGTTACAAAATTTATTAAGATTTTTGAAAGGGGAAATAAAATTAATAAACAGAGCGCCGAGAGATCGTTAACATTGTTAAATATACTGAAAACTGAAGAAAACTAATATGTCGTGTAAAAAATCCTCATTAAAAAAAAATTGAATTCTAAATTATTAATATAATAACATATATAAATTATTAACAATAACTCGATTTTAAATGTCCTTGCGATAAGATTTAACACGCTTATTGCATAAGATGAATAATTCATTGCGCGCCTGATACCGTTCATTTCCGAACAGTCGTCATTTGTCTCTCGTTCTCGAGAGAGAGACCCGTAATTTCCGAGCGCAACGAAATTGTCTTAAATGCCTATCAAACACTTGGCGGCAATTTCGTCACGAAATGCGTCAAACGAGAAAGCCGTCGAAAGTCGGTCGGATCGTCCATCGACCTACGCATCCCGGGTCATTGCCATGGGTGGAGGAGAAAGCCCGCGGGACGCATAAGCAGAGATCTTTTTACGAGAGATTGACTCGACTCATCTTACGAACGACGAGACGCGCGACGGCTGAAATCGCGGGTAAGTGCGTGACACAAATGACGCGTTTTGCAGCAGTCTGCTGTTCTCTTTTAGAGCGGTATTTATGTCATTCCTGTGCGACATCACGTGAAAACGTGCGCGTCTTGAAGAAGAAGTGGGTTGTTTCCGTGTGCAATTTGCCAATCATAAAGCAGCCGACGCGAGTTGTGTAAAAGTTCACGTCTCGCGCAAGTCACGTAGGAGTAACACGCGAGCTCCGTATTTTATGCGGGGTAAATGCTCCAATAAACCGTTTAATAAATATATTAGAGTATAACGTGCGCGTGGAGTATAGAGTACAATTCTCTCACATTAAAAATAATATTTTATTGTATATATATATACAGTAA